GCAGCTACATGTTTGCCTTCTCTGGGTAAAGGTGTGTGAATTTAGGACCATATTTCTTGGTGAGAGAAGGAAAATCCCTACAGCTCCATGTGACCCAGTTGCCAGTGGAGAGGTGTAATGGTGTGTGGGTGTCATGTTTTAACTCCACCTCAGCCAAAAATCAGCACATTCTGCCCCATTATGGAGCTGCTGAGTAAAGTTCTGCCCACAGAAGTGCCTGGAAAGGCAAGGAGGATCTTGCTCACCTGCCGTTTCCCTGAATTTTTGCAGTCAATGTGCTTGTTATGACTTACTTCCCTAGCAACCCCAAGCCTGTTCATGTGGAAGCAGCCTGTGCCAGCAGCCAGTTCCATAACACAAGCTCAGGACGGTGGATTTGGAGTCAAAATCCACACTGCAACAGAGTGAACATGCAACTGACTGAAGGTGCAGACTGAAATGGGGCACAACCTGCGTGTGTCTGACAGGAAAATCCCCCAGACCACATCCCTGGGCCTGACACCTCTCTCCAGCCAAACCAGTTTCAAACCAGGGGAGCAGCTGGTTTTGGTCCTTCCATACCTGCTGCCATGCTGGATCAGCCAGCAGCAGGCAGTCCTTTCAGGAACCCTCCCTTGCTGCTTTGGGAAGAAGTGATAAACTGGCCCTGTGGAAGGAGGCTGTAGGTCGGAGAGGGGAAGGACCTGAAAAGCATTTAATTTAATAAAAAAGGGGGCATTTAATTATTGTCTCCCTTTCCGGTGCTGAGGGTGGATCAGTTGTATCCAGGCAGATGTGTGACCCTGGAGATGCTCCTCTGTGGGGTGAGCTGAGAGGTCATTCACAGGCTGCTTGAAGGACTGGGGGATTTCCCTTGTGGTGTCTTTCTTTCAAGCAGAAGCTATTCAAATGAAAACAGAGAGTAGGCAGGCAAATAAAGAAGGCACTAACTAATTAACTGAGAGTTTTAGGTATGTTTTGGGGCAGTAAGAGCTGCCAGACTCCTCCCTGAGATTGCTCAGCCCCCAAAGAGTGAAGCCAGTGATGGGGTGTGCTGCATCCCACGGGCAGGAATGAGCCATGGGGTGGCTGTGCCAGAGCGAGAGGAATGGCCAACCAGGGCTGCTGCAGCCAGGACCAGCCTTTGGAGGAGGGTGTGTGCTCCTGCTGCTGATCCAACAGCGGCATTCTTTCCACACAAAAATTTATCAGCCATTTTCTTGTTGTTTTACTAATTATTGCTGGTTTTGCTAATAATGTTCCATTCAATCTCTCACAGCCATCCGTTCTTTACAAAGGCATGAAGTGTAACTCATGAAGACTGCTGACAACCTATGGAAATCCAGCCATCAGTTTAAGGCCAATAACAGCCCAGAGTGATGCTTTACATGCCGGTCCCAAGGGTGCCTGCCTGCATGAATCACGCTGAGCAAAGCTGCTGACGCTGCAAAGGCTGCTGCACTCAGCCTGCCAAGCAAGGCAGTGGGCTCAAAGAGGTGGAGGCATTCCCAGAGGCATGTCTTGAAATGCAATTAGGTCTGGCTGGAGAAGGAGGCATTTTCTGGTGCGAGAGAAGAGGCAGGTGGATGGGAAGCAGTGAGGCTGGCCAGTTCTGGCAGCTGAGGCTGAGCTGGTCAGCCACGGGAGATCCAAGAAGATGGTCTGCCAGGGAGCACTGGCTCTGTGCTCCCAATACCCTGTAACCACCACTCAAACACGGGAGGAATGGTCCCCAAGTCCTTGGACTTCAACTGCTTGCATTTTTAAAGGGAAAAAAGTGAAAGCTCACAAAGAATTGAAACTGCCTGGAGCAACCAAAGTGCCTTTTGATCCAACTATAAGTGCTTAAAAGAAGAAAAGAGGCACATGTGTTGCTTTTAAAGGTATCACACATCCACCCACCTGTTGGGAACAGTTAAAAAATACAACTGGGTTGGCTACAGTCTGAAGGGAGAGCTGTGAAAGGAATAGCAAGCAAAGTAATTTCTACAAGCAATGTTTAAAGCAGCAGCCAATGGAGAAGCGGCTGCCATGCATACTCTGGTTCTTTAGTGCCTGTTCTGAGGAGACTGCCTGACCCTCTCAGCACAGCAGAGCTGCTTAATTACCTCCACTGACAAGACTTGAAAGATAAAAATTAGGTACAATTTCTATATTACAGCAATGGCAATAATATTCATCTCCTAATTGCATCTCAAGTGAAAAAAAACCAAAAAAACATCATGCAGTGAGGAATTTTTGTCATAAGCATTACTTACATGTAAAAGGACTCCACTAACTGCCTCCCCTGTGAAAAACAGAGCATTAAATATCATGGCCTGGATGGTCCTGACGTACCTACAAGTGTGATATCAAATGAGATGGCACCACTGACTGTGTGTGTCAGAAGCAGACATGAAAACCACCTCAGCGTGTTAAATCGTGCATGAACATAATTTCCACCATGGAGTCTCTCACACTGTGTTTGTACCTACAAGTGTGATATCAAATGACATGGCACCACTGACTGTGTGTGTCCACCTCAGCGTGTTAAATCGTGCATGAACATCATTTCCACCATGGAGTCTCTCACACTGTGTTGGTATGATCAGCCCCCTCGGCTGCACCATCCAGGGGAGGGGCAGGGAGTGGTGGGAAGGGGTGAGACACAGAACAGGGGTGAGACACAGAGCACAATCAGAAGGCTTCTTGCTGAGGAAAATCTAGTTGTGGGTTGTGGTTTTTTCCCCCCAGTCTCAGAATAAAATGTGAAGCTACAGATCCTCCAGGAAAACACAATAAAATGCAAAAATATTCTTGGAACAAAAATGTTCCACTTCCAAAATGTCAAAATTATGTTTTGACACTACTGAAAGCTGTAGTTTCAGTTAAATAGAATTTAATGTTAGAAAGTGACATGCTTTTATGAAGAGTTTTGATTTTGACAAAGTGGGATTTTCCAGCATTGAAGCCATCTGATAAAGTCTAACCAGCTCTGATTACTGATATATTACAGCAAGGTGGGGTTTTAAGTGAAGGAATTAAAATCTCATTTTGAAAAATGGAGAGAGGTTAACTAAGTTTGTAATTGTGAGGGGAAAAAAAGATTGTTTGAGGACTCTCTGAAGGAGATATTACTAATACAGCAAGATTTTTACATGTGTTGGGAATTTAAGAGTAAAAAATGAACTGTACAGGTTTGCTGTTGATGGAATGGCACCTCTGCCTCAACCAGACAGCTGACCAAAGAGATTTCCATTCTTTATACCACAGACACAAGGTGATGTAGATGGGTGCTGTATTACAAGCATTGGCACGATTAGGGTTCCCTATATTACGTCACTCAATGACATATATGACTTCTCACTTAACACAGTTGTTCAGCTACTCCTATTTAGGGTATTTCAGCATGCAGACAGGATTTGCTGAAAGCTGGTCAGTCCTGGAAAGACCCAATCCTGCAAACTTATGACAAGTTTTTTAAATTAGGAGAACAGTCCCTAGGAGTTTAGTGAAAGTCTTGTAGGATATGGTTTCTCCTATATTTAAGGGTTTCCAGGAGTAGGCCTTTGAACGGGTATCTTTTTGTAGGAGTTCTAGTCTAGCAACATGCATCAGGTTGAATTTTATTTCATGAGGTATTTTTGGTAACATTCTTTTCTACGTAAACAGAGTCAATCTTGCATACTATCAGGACCCTGTTTCTCGGTAAAGTTGAGCTAACTAGCTCTAAAATCACCTGCATGACTTACAAGCACTTGCTACCTCTCCTTGTCATGCACTAGGGGTTTGAACTGCATGGATGCGTTCCTTCATAGTCATCCTTTGTGGATGAAAGCGAGGACACACTCATTCCACAGATTCCTACACATTCCTCAGCCTGAGACCTGTTTTGCCCCCCTCAGTTACATGGAGTGTCAATAAGCACCTTTTAGATTTGTGTAAGAGGCAGTAGTGAATTTTTAACTCACTTGGAAGTCCAACACATCAGGAACCAACCCTACAGCATTTGTCCTGGGCCTGGGCGAAGTGCAGGTCCTCGTGAGGAACAATCCCACCCGGCTTCCTCGTTTTTAAAAGATGCAAACAAAAACAAATTGAGATATTTTGTTTTTTCCTGGATGCCACAGGGTGTGCTCCAGACTGGGGCGGCTCAGGAGCGGAGCTGACAGCTGTGCGCGCCAGACACCGCGGGAGCCATCCACCCCCTCCTCGGGGCGACGGGAACATCCTGCCAGAAACGCTCTCTGCATTCGGGCCCTTCTTGGATGAATTATCCTGCTGGGAGCCCGCGATTCCGTGGCGGTGATTGCGGACGTGCTCGACAGGAGAGCCGTGACGGCCAAAGCTCGCCCGAGCTCCAGCCGCCGGTCTGCTGGGGCTGCTCCCTCTAGCGGGATAAAGGACTTCAGCTGGGGAAAAAACCTTCCCCTCCCTCTTTTTTAAAAATTATTTCTTCTTCTCTTCCCCCCCCCCCCCCCCCCCCCCCCCCTTTTCTTTGTTCTTGTTTGTTTGGTTTTTTAAATTTGTTTAAGTGAATAATTCAAGTTTTCCGGATAGTGCAAGACAGTTTCCATCGGACAAAAGGTGACCGAAGGCTGCGCTTTTCCAGCCCTGGAGCATGGAGAGTGGGGCTGGTGCCCCGGCAGTGCAGGTCAGCGATTGCTCCTCAAGAGGCAGACCGGTGGCAAGTGAGGGACTCTCGGTTTGTCTTCTCGCAGTCCTATGCATATGCTGTAGCTGTGTTTGGTTTTGATTTCCCACTTCTGGTTACAAAAATAGGACTTACTATAATCATAATAATATTAATGATACAAAATAATTATTGTAATTATATACTTTTTGGCAAATTATTAACACAAAGCGGCCCAAAAAGATCCCATTGGATTAAAAAAAGGTGACAATGCACAAATGTTAAAAAAGACAGTCTTTGATAAAAAAGAAGGAAAAGCAATCTGCAAATGAATGCATTTCTGTAAGGCAACATGTTACCTTTAGTCTTCCATCTAGATTTAGCTTAGATTCTGTTGTTCAAGAAATTATTAGAACTTGGCTTGCTTGAGCTTATCAATGTGGTAACACAGTTTCAGTGCTGGTCCCAATTTCAGCCCCAGGTATTTCATGATCATGTCGCTTTTCAGCAGTAACAAAGCATTGCCATCAATTTCCTGGTTTCAAAAGAGAGGAAGAGAATCAAAATGTGTTGACCCCCCCCCTTAAGTGCTGTGTCCTGACACATTAAACAAGGTGAATTAGAAACAGCGTGTCATTTAGGGTAGAGCTACCTGAAATGTCATGTATTTTGAAATTTCATTAAAAACCTGAAATCTGAGATGTGATAGAAGGAAGCCATAAAGGAAGGTTTAATTAAATACTAGTTTTTATTCTTCAAGGAACTATAAGATTAGTTTAGGTTTTCAATTTATTTTGCAATTAAAAGTAGAATTTTTTTAAAAATCAGTGTTGCTCTAAGTGCAATTCTGAGAAAAGCCAGTCAGCCTTGAGAGAAAAGCATGAATGATGGTGACAGTGAAGGATGTAGCCATATTAAACTGCTAATAGAACACCTCTGGATCTCAGTTTCAGTTTTGTCCCCAGCTATCTGTGTGTTTCACATAGCTCCAGTACACTTATACCCAGTGATGCAATATATATATGTGCATGTGTATATATATATATATATATATGTGTATATATATGTGTATATATATATTGCTTTTTTCTCAGATTCAAGACAGTAGTAACTTGCTTTTTAAATTGCATTTATTATTAAATTTGCTAAATTTTAATTTAACCCTCATGTAAGTGGAGGAAATTGCCACCAAGCTCAGCTGTTTATCCCAGAGCTGTTGGCTTGAAAACCTTTTGAAATTATGAAGTTCTACTGCAAAAGAAGCCTGAGCCTACAGAGAAACAGACGCTCCTTTACTATGGGCTGTTGAACACAGACGCTTTCAGCTGTACTGTTCTTCCTTGAATCCAAAGCCTGTCTGGTTTTTCCTGACTCTATCAGTAGATCTGCCAAAAATACTACCTGTCCCCACATCTTCCAGCACATTCACACACTTGGAGTGCCAGAACTAAAACATCACAAGTGCCTGTGTGTGTGTGTACACATACACAGATACACACACCTCAATGCTGTCTACACTGTGTTCTGTGGTTTTGATGGTCAGATCTTTCCACTGTGATCCATTGCCTACTTATTAAGCAACGCTATGGATCCTAATTTGCCCTGATCATTATTATTCCATTCACCAGGTGATTTATCTGGTGAGCAGTTAAGGTCACTTTCTGATTAACTCAATCAATTAATGCTCCTCATTTTGCAACCCCCACTCTATCCATAATAGAAACTCTCTCCACCTCCCTGCTCTCCTTGCCATTATTTTAAGGAAGCTAATGTAAAGTAAGAATAAGAGTTACATATAATTACTATTTGCATAAGAAATAAAATAAGAACTCCTTTAACTGGGGTACCACAGGGTAAAAACACTGTCAAGGGTCAGGTGTGGAGGCAGCTGCTTCTAAATGTTGAGTTCAGCATTTTATTATTTCCATTATTATTACTGTGTAGGGGTCAAGATTAAACTCCATGACAATAGTATGCCAGAGGGAGCATTCATATCCAATTAAATAGCCCATATTAGCCATTTCCCTGTGCAGATTCTTGGCTTGACTTCTTCACAGTATTACTGTGTCAGCCCTTTTAAAAATAATTTTTTTAAAGAAGACTTTGATAACGTGGTTGCCACATATACCTTAGCCCCAGCAGATTTTGGACCAGGTCTGGAACTGGTAACATTCAGTGCCATCAAGGCCACCTTTCCCCTCCTCTGTTTCCTTTCCCCCTATCTTTATGCCAAGACTTTTCCACTGATGGAGTCTCCACGATCTCACATGGTGCTGCTGCCAGGTCCCTGGCCAGGGCAGCGTCTCCTTTCCGTGAGAGCAAGAGCTCTATCAGTGATGAGCTCAGCTGTCCTTGGCACACAGACATGCTGACAGAGCAGGGAACAGCCGACGGGAGGTGCAGGAAATTTCTGTCTTTGGTGTACACTCTCAGGAGCTACCTGTGACAGAGCTCCTCAAGTATCTTGGCAACAAGCAAAGCTTCTGCTCCTGGTGGGAAGAGCAGACAGAGCCAGGACATCCTGCAGCGCCTTTTGGGGCAGTGAAGGACATGGGCTGCAGGCTGGAAGAGCTGGCTCTGAGGACTGAGGTCAACACCCAAATGGCCTGGTAGGGCAGTAGGAAAGCACACTGCCCACGTTCAGGATACATCCTCCAGCTGTTTTCTTCCTGCTGGTCCCAACAGCCTCTGTCTCCCAGCTCAGATGAGCTGATTGCCAAAGCAACTATTTCGGGGGATAGCTGGGCCTTGTCAATGACAGTAAGTGCTTCTAAGTAAATTATGCACCTGCTCCATAGAAAGATTGAACATACAGGAAGATATGGCTGAGGTTAATGGACTAATCACTTGTCTCTCACCCCTGGGGTCTTTGTGCTAATCCAGATGAGGTTTGAAGGCTGAAAAATTGCAGGGATATATATAACTCAAAGGTGTAATTGAATTGAGTTGTGTGGCAATCATACCCAGGTTCTCACACCTATGGCATATTTTACAAGGAAACCAGTGATAAGTAGAGCCCATGGGTGCTGGGTGCGCAACAAAGGATGACAGGGACAGCCTTTAGTGGCAATTTAGCTTGATCTCTTTGGTCGCAGAGCAGCTGCAGTATCATGGCATTCTCCAGTGCAGCTGGCCCATGACTGCCTGGAGCATTCCCAGGCAGCATTCCTGCTGCTACATAAAAGCATACTTTGCTACAAATGGAAACTAGACAAAATTAGTGCTTTTGCACTTTCCATATTTACGACACAAACTTTAAAAGTCGGGGGTTTTCCTTTGAGGTATACCCCTATGCCTCAGACTGGGTCAATTCTCACTCCCTTGCATGAAGGTTTTCTCTTGATGAACAGCCTCTTCTGATATTGTAAGAAACTAATTTTATAGCAAGTTCTTTCAAGCCTGAAGGTGGCTTGTTTATCTGCCTGGTTGCCCACATGACCAATATAAGCCATGCTTTCATTATCAGCTTATAAGGCAGAAGGCAGGAAAGGTAGTCCAGCACCTAACCTGTACTTGCAGATTTGGCCCTACACCACTGTGCCTGCTGCTGTTCTCATCCCACAGACCTGTCTGCAGAATGGCAGATGGCCTCAATGCCTTCCTAGGGTGAGCAGGGCCTGTGTTATCTTCATTTTCAGCTGCTCCTCAGCCACCTCCTCTCCTCTATCTGGAAACCCTGGAGGCAGAGTGTAGCTGAAGTCCAGCTCCCTCACCTTGCTCCTCAGCTCTCATCTGCAGCTCCACATCCCCACTTGTCTCTGCTGCATAGGGGCAAGGAATGATCAGGCCCTCTTGTTGTCTCTGCAGCACTGGGAGTGCTGGTCAGCACTAAGGGCTGGGGAGCAATTCTCATTTAGACCTAGATCCAGGCACTTACATGAAAACTTATGACCTCCAGCTGAACACAAACAGCTAGGGTAAAATGCATTTTTCATAGCCAGACTGAATCGATTAAGGAGAGATGGAGAAGGCAAAAAATGCTAACAGATACATTGGTGTCAAGTCCATATACAGCAGCAGAACAAGAAACTCCAGATCAGACAAGTTTCCCCTTTATTAATTAAGGATAATAAAATTTCTATCACTGGAGGTTATTCTTACTAAAGCAACTATCATATCCTCTAGAGAGTCAGCAGGTCTGTTAAATTTGGTTATGTAGTTACATAATACTGAGAGGGAAAAGATTAAAATATTGGCTGTTTTGGGTTTCTCCTGCTAAATATCTAGAGACACATTAAAAATGCTCTTCAGAGAAGAATCATATATACCCTCTGAAAAAAATTGTCATTGAAATCAGGCTTTTTTGTGCCAATCTGACAATGAAAAATGAGCACCAGACCCTCAGTGCTTTCTCTAAGACTTGGCAGAGAAACAATTTATGCTGGAGTAGCTGGGAACAAACAGTGAGCATTTTCTAAAGACACTGTTATGGTTTCCCCATTGACATAGAAATGAATAGAGTAGCATAACATAGCACAAAATAGAGTGGAATGGAATGGAACGGAATAGAATGGAATGAAATAGAATAGAATAGAATAGAATAGAATAGAATAGAATAGAATAGAATAGAATAGAATAGAACTGTTTTAGTGGGAAGGGACCTACAATGATCTAGTCCAACTCCCGGAGCAATTCAGGGCTGACCAAATGACACTGTGTTATTAGGGGCACTTTCCAAAAGCCTCTTAAACACTGACAAGCTTGGGGCATTGTCCACCTTTTCACAAAGCCCATCCTGGTGTTTAACCACCATCTCAAGGGATAAGTGAAACCTGTTCAGCCCAAACCCTCCAGAGGTGCTGAGCTCCTTGCCAGGCCCTGCATTCAACCTGGTTGAGGAAGCCCAAGGCAGTTGAGGGGCTGTGTGTGACGTGTGCTGGCTGTCTCTTGTGACTTAAATTACCTAGAGGTGGTAAGGGTAGCCTTCTACATACGTGCTTTCTGAAGAGCTCCACATGAGGGCCTAAAGCTTGAGGGTCTGCATCCTTCACAAACCAAACCACATCATCCACCGTCCAGGTCAAAGGATTCTTGCTTGATGGCCGAGCTGCATCTTGTTGTTCAGGTGAAGGGCTTGAGGCTATCGGTACAAAAAGCCCACAATAGTGCATTACAATGGCAAGCAGAGGTTTCCTCGGTTTGGGATTGTGAGTGTGCAGGGCTTTGGCAGCCTCGCTGCAGCCCTGGACATTGGTTCTCTGAGTGCAAGAACTGGCCTGAGATGGTGGCATAGGGAAAAAAGGGGACTTGCAGAAGTTTCCAATCTGACTGCTTATTGGAAGACATGATCCCAGCTGGTGAATTGTGTTAAAAAACATGAAACCCTTAAGTCCCTGCTGGGGAAGGAAAAATGTGCCAGCTGCCAGGCTCTTAAACCAAGCTGCCCCTGCTGTCTGATCTGCAAGGATCTTGGCTCAAGAAAACACTGCCTTCACACCTGGAGAGAAAGTTCTTCAGCACTAAACAAAGGAGTCTGCCATTGAATGTGAAGGCTAGAGGATAAAATCAGGATTTAGCAAACAGGGTTTTAAAATTTGCATTCAGATATTCATACTTCTTTTAGAGCTTAGCAGAAGGTTTTCAGTCTGTATCTTCCTAATCTTAGTCTCTCACAAAGCTGATGGTCCCCAGTGAATGCCAATTTGGGAAGTTACTAAAACATGTGAAGATGAACATTGCACATGTGACTTTTTAATGGTATAACCCCTCGATGATTTAAGGCAACTTCAGCTTGCTGTAGCTTTAAATCAAGTGAATAAAGGCACGTTGGAATGAAAGTGCATTTATGTTTTTATTCTTAGTCTCTGCAGAACTATAAATCTCAGTCTTCACCTGAATATAATTTGTACCCCACTTATGCTTCTTCTTTACAACAAGAACTATATTATGCTAGGTTACAGGAAAGCTGTTTCCATTTTCTTACATACACACCAAGCAAACTCTGCCTTAGCAGGCAGCAGCACACAGACGCATTAAATGTTACTTGCTCACATCTCAGCTGCTCATCTCTTCCTGTCAAGGCCCAGATTTTAATGAGAGAAGTGCAAATGGAAAGCAAGTATCCACTGCAGAATACCAGAAATCAAACAGAAGAGTGCGTGTAGAGGGAGATCGCAGACACCTAAACTAGAGCCTGGAAACGTCCCAAGTAGCCAAGAGACAATCCTTACTGCTGAGGAGAGAAGGCATGAGCTCTCTAGAGAAACACTGAGCTTAAAAAGACAGATGAGATGTGTGAGAATCCCCGTGCGTGACTCCAAACACAATCCTAATGCATGTGAGTAAATGTGCACGGTGGGTTTGGGGCTTGTGTAGATTGTCATTCCATTGACTTCAATAGAGCTCTGGTGATTTATATTAGCTGAGACTCTGCCCATATACACCCAGTAATGGGTTTATGTGCATATTTGTCCTTTTTCCCTTGGCACCGTGCTCATCTTACAGTATAATGTAATGAGGTGTATTTGCAGTTACTCACAATGAACTCCAGAAAGCAGCAGTGCTATGAATGTGCAAATCTGGTCGATGGTTTTCATAATGAGATGAGATGTAAATATCATGATAATTGCACTCTCATTTGCTAAGTCACTGTTCTGGATACAAAGGACAAGGAACAGCCGCAGGTCCTTTTAATTAGACAGCGAGGACCGGTGTTTGTATGGACTCAGGTGACCCTGGGCTCTGCTCACAGAATAAATGCAATACACAGTGGTACAGGCACCATCTGGCGCCTTGGCATGAAACAATGAAGACAGAGAGTGCAAAACGAACAGGGTAATCTTGGCCAACCCCTGGATCATCAGTAACATTAAGGAACTCTGTCAGGGACCAGAGACTTGTCAGGGAGAACCAAGACTTGTCTTGGAGACAGAGGGGTATTTCTCCCCTTCATGATCTGTCGATGGTTTGGATGAGCGCTGATGTGTGGAGGCATCGGGCACTGCATCACCTCAAACCAAAGGTCAGGAGAAAGACCAAGCTTTTGCAAACTAGTCAGAGAATAGAGGGAGGAGAGAAAGGTTTGGCTGTGACCAAAAGACTGCAGAAGTTTCTCTGCTACTGCCATAACATGGTCAGGGGAAATGTGCCACTACTGAGGAGCATATTTTTTCCCTTAAATTTATATAAATGTAAGGAAAGCCCAGAGGACTTAGCCTGGGATTTACACCAGGAACAGAAAGGGCAGCCTGCAGCCCACTGACTCCTGCCTGCAACCTGCCCAGGAAAAGGCAGAGGGGAGCAGAGAGCCCCAAGTGCAGCTGGGAGCCTTCACAGGTATTGGAAGTATCTGTAACAAAAGGAGGGGGGATGAGAAGAAAAGGTTGAAATGACAGGAGGAATCTATTCACTCCTTTGCAATCTAGCAATCAATAGTATAAATGTGATTTCTGAAAGACAAATATATAAATGACCTTTCTAAAGAGACTGCATGGCTAGAACTCTTCCAGACCCTAGCAGGTGAGGATAACCCTTTCAAATCCATGCCTGGGGGATAGTATAATATCATAATATACAAACAAGAATTATGTGTCAATACTAATTCTTCAAATACGTTTTTTGTCTTTATGTACCTACCTAGTATCAAGTTTTGGATTCTCGTTGCTTTTTCATTAATTAAGGGGTGTTAATTTACTTGCGTGAAAGGAGCTACATTTAAATATTATTAATAAAACTGAGATACCCTCAGTTTGCAGCAAAATATCAGGTTTTAGCTGATGAGTCTGGAAACAATCTGTTTTTCTATATATTTTATTATTTATTTTGTTGATTAATTTATTTGGCTTTTTAACACTGTATTTTACCGATCTGAGTGTAATTTCTCAATTTACAAAAGAAAAGAGATCATTTCATGTCTACAAAAAGGCATGGGGTTTCTTTCAATAGCGTCACTTTGGTGAAAGATTATATGAAGCACAAAAGTGTTTGATGGCAGCAGGGCAAGTGCTATACATTCTTTTCATATCTGAAGGTATTCACACTTAACCTAAGAATAAGATAAATGAGGAAGTCTCATGTCTCCTGGGTATCCTATGCCATCCTGTCATCAGAATTAATCAAGATGATAATGAATACTCAGATTACAAAGAGATGGGAGTGCTTGCGACCAATAATTATTTTTAGAGATCATAATCTAGGTCAAATCCAATTTCCTGTTTTTGACAGGTGGCAAAAATTTGTCAAATTAATGGAACAAGATATGGAAATTTAGGTAATCAGAGGGAAGCACTTTCCCCTCCTGCCTCAAACGATATTGGGAAGGACAGTGAAGAGGTTCCTCTGCAGAGGAACGTCTCCAGGCATCCCAGTCAAGACCATTGCCCACACAGAAACAGCTGGAATTACCAGGTCAGTGGCAAAAGCTGAGTGAGCTGAGAGAAAGAGGTAGCCTGGCTCAGTCTGAGTTTTCACCCCACACTTTCCTTTGCCACTCATGTCTAACCTCTGGACCCTCCTGAGAAGGAGAATGGAGACAGAGCCAACAGCCAAATGGCTGCAGAGTCATGACAAAGAAATAAAATGCTAAAATGGAGTTAAACCTGCAAAAGAAGGAAAGACAAATAACAGACTCCCTAAATATGTTCTTGGCAAACAAACAGAGCCCAGGGGGAGTACAGTCATTGATAGATAAGAGTGGAAAGGGAGTGACAGATGAACTTTAATATTGCTGCAGGCCTAAATGATTTCTTTGCCTCAGGGGAAGGGGGTGGGAATGAAATTTTAAAAGGTTCTCTCTGATTGCACTGGAGCAGATAATAAGGAGTAGCAGATCTACTGAAACTAAGCCGAAGTAGCAGACCCTCAAAGGTGCAAAGAAACGGGAATTATTTTAAAAAACAAGCCACCCCCCACTATAAACAAGGAAAGGAGGAAGGCTTTAAGATACTTTTCTAAAAATCTAGGGCACACCAAGCAGGAGAAGAAGAGATGCATCAGAGAAGCAGGCATCTGGAAGAACACAACTACAGGATATTTGGGGCGGGGCAGGGTGTTGACAGGCTCAGCACACCTGTTTGCCCTGGCTGGCGCTGGCAGGACATGTCGGGCACCACCTGCCTGGTGTCCTGCACCTTGCGACGCGTCAGAGCGGAGTCCCTGTCCCAGCAGGGTGGCAGCCCGTCCCACTGGCAGCATGGCACACTCTGCAACTCTGCAGGAGCAGCCCGGCATCCACCTGCACCAGACGTGGCCGCGGACATTAAATATTTATCCGGGCTTTTCTTGCTTTGCCTCTCCTTTGCAGGTGAGACAAAAAGGCAGCTGGCTGGAAGCACTGAAACTTTCAGACTGAAATGTCCTCAAAAATTATCAGGCAGGCTGTATTTGCCGAATACAGTGCTGAGGCTCACAATGCCATCAGCAGCTCCTTTGCCTTGGGGCAGTGCTGGATCTGCCCCCCATGAGCTGCTTGCAGCATTATTCTGGAAAAAGAGAAATTTCTACTCCCATGCCCCCAGATGTTTTCAGAAAATACATATATTAATAAGCAGGACTGCCCCTTTAACAAAGACCCTCAGGTGATAATAATTAACTGCTAATACTGGATAATAAAATCTCCATAAAAATAACAAGCTACAGGGTAAGGTTAAAGTTATTATATTGTGGTTGAACACACAATTCTTCATACTTGGGATAAAGGCTTTGTCTGTTATGTAAGCAGGCTTGGAAAGGTTTATGATGTCCTTGAGTATTCCTTCCCTAATTTAAAAGCTTCAATTTGGCAAATGATGACAGGAAAGTGCATGTTTATCTGTTTGCAGCCCCAACTGGCTTTCTAAAATTATTTTTTTTTACATCTTTTTTTCAGAATTTTTTAGCATAATCAAGGGGAATTAGGCATCAAGCTTCCGATCGCATTAATGAGAGCTTTGAGGTTTAATCTCATCCATTCCGCTTGAAAGACATGTTCTGCTATGCACTGAGATATGTTTTATGATTATGGCTTTTTCCACGATATTTGCCCACCGTGATAAATAAGGCAAGCTATTTTTCAAAACCATCCATAAATAAACAGGATTGGTTTGAGGTTTCGGAGACAAATTCTTCCTCTTTTTAATGAGCCCGTCTCTGCCTCATAAGTACACAAACTGAAGAGGATAAGAACAGAGACTGACATGCTCCACTTACTCATCTTTGCTTACTTATGATTCAGCAACATATAAATTATGCCTAGAAAGAAGAAAAACACATGCACAGATTGTTAGGGACCTTGGCAGTAGACCCTGTGTGGCTTTGCATGTGCCTCCATGGTAGACCCTAATCTACAATGGGTGATACCAGGACTAATAAATGCCTAAAAATTAGGAAAACCCCAACAATATAAGTGAATCCAAAACCATTTTAATGATGGTCATTGCATATATTTCTGTTTTAGGAAGCCTTTACTGTTGAACTGGTCAAATGACCCAGAGACCTCAGAGGAACTAGGCTATGCAAGTGTCAAATGATTGTCACATAAAAATTACTAAGCTGTTTTAGGATCAGTTCTGTTAACCCCAGGTAGTATATGTAGCAGTTTCAAGTCACTTGTGACTGCTTCAGAGGCACTCATGTCATGGATGCCTGGTTCAAAAGCAATCTCTCCCTCTTTGTTCCTCAAAGTGCTTTTAATGGTTTTAAGCCAGAGAAATACAGGAACATGTAAAGCCTGTTGCATGACCACTCAATGACTTTTTGTTGATTCAGTTCTGGGAGAAAACATGAGCCCTATTTCAGCCTTTCATTTTGTAAAGACTGCGGATTTTGTGGGAAGTCACGAAAAGAGAGATGGAGATGTCTCCTGAATTTTAGCTTCCTGCTCAGCACTACGTGGAGGTTTCACAAAGCATTGGCCAAGACTGGGAAACACTGGCCAAAACATTGGGAAGCAGTGACATTCAAAGTCTAAAACAAAAAGGGAAAGCAGTGCAGCTGAACAAGCTTAAGAAGCTCTGATTTTAAGCTTCAGTCCCTTGAACATAGTTTCTGTCCCCTGATACCAAGGGTTTTCTCCACACTACACATTCTTACACACAGAAGTTCTATGTATTCTGAAAATTCACAAAGTATTCAGTAAGCCACCGAGTGATCCAGAAGAAAAAAAAAATCTGTGAAGGGTTTTATCAATGACGGGAGCTCCCGATGCAGGGAATAATGTGCTCTGACTCCATGATTCAGAAGGGCTGAACAAATGCTTTATTAAGCTATACTATATTATACTAATACCATACTATATTGCATACTAAAAAGATACTGTACTAAAGAATACTAAAGAAAAGCCCGTGACTGTCCGAGACAGCCAGGACACAGCTTTGACCCAATTGGCCAAGGAATCAAAACAACTTTCACCGGTGTCAAATAACCAAATCACTTTCAGTAAACAATCTCCATAACACATTCCACATGTGCAAAACAACAGGCGCAGTGAATAGAGATAAGAATTGTTTTCTCTTCTTCTCTAAGGTTCCCACTGCCTTCCCCAGGAAAAATCCTGGGAGAGAGAATTATGTTACTCTCTGTTCAGAGAATATGAATACCACAGGTTACTGTGTATGAATCTACCACCTGTGGCTGAGGAAGTCTTTGAGCCACAAATTTCTGAAGGCAGAGAGGGATGCACCACCAACTCTGCACTTATCTCTATCCTTGGGGCATGCTGCTGTATCCTGCTGGGGACAAGATGTGTGGCTAGACAGACCTTTGCTCTGAACTGCCCTGGCTCTTCATATGTGCTACAAAGAGACAATGATGATCCCAAGAAAAATGATCAAGATTTTTAAGGCAAGTAAGTATCAACATTATTAAATCTTGGCTCCTCAGAGCTGCCAACTATAAAGATTGGTGAAAGGGTCCCAGTTCTGCTAGGAGGCTCTAAGGAAGTGGTGGGAGAGGGGTCAATGAATCCTCTGCACAGTGAGACTCTTGTCCTTCCAGCACCTGATTGTGCCAGCCTGAGAGGCACTGAACAAGATCTGAAAGAAAATGGCTTTTAATTTCCTTTTCTTTGTAATTAAGGCCACTAGCTCCTAGTGACAAACTTTTACAAGCTGTTTGCAGTATATTTCTATACTATCCACTTTGCTTTGGGTAAAGTTGGCTCTGTAAGTAAAGAATTAGGTAATTACAAGACCCAAACACTTATCAGTGGTCTCTGTAATAGGCTAACAGGGGTAAACCAGGAAAGCAAGTGTGCAAAAGTAATAGCAAACCAGTGATAATTTTGGGTGGGTATTGAATATCTAAGAAGGCAAACTTAGATAAACAGGTAAATACAGGGATAAATACTTGTGATACATATTTTGGAAGAATAATGTTCTAAAATATTAAATAGTGAAATTTCGGGAACAAGAAATAATACAGATGTTGGGGAGGTGAGGAATGTGAAAGAATTAAGTAAAAATTAAGCAAAGAAAACTCAAAAGAGGCTCTGGAATGGCTTCCAAGCAAGAATATGCAGAATCAATTGAAGTTTCCAAGAGAAATGCAAGGGCAAAAAGACAGCGTAATGAGATAATGGTAGACAAAGGGGCTAGGGGAAGCAGTAATCTTCTGCAAATATATCAAGATTTTTAAAAAATAGTACTAGAGTGGCAGTAGATTCCATTAATAAATGAGGAAGGGAAAAAAATTAATGACTTTAAAATGGCTGAGACATCCAACTCCTTTGAATGGCTGAGACATTCAACTCCTTTTCATTCTGTCATCAGAATGAAAAATGCATACATGAAGTTTGAATAATTAGTAAGAGGTGAAGACACTATTAGCATCACTACTGATAAAGACCTGTTGACTGAGAATTTGAAAAATGCAAACAAAGTTAACTGAAGTTCAGTGAAATAGCTAACCCGTCTGATGAACTTGAGTAATTTCAAGAGGAAAAAAATCATGGCCACTAGGAACTGTAGTGGGTAAGTAGAGCAACTTCCCCAGCAAATGGTAACTGAACAAAAATACCAAGAAAGGGAAGAAGAATCATTGAATGCAGTGGTTCCCATGGCATTTCTTGAATTTGCAGATAAACTTCTTTTGACTTTGCTTCCAGAAGAATAACAGAGCCTTAAGCAATGAGCTGAATGATTTTTAAAAACATGTTTTGTTGAGGAGTCTTTTTCAAGCAAAATCTGGCTTGGTATGTAATTAAAGGGGCAGGATGGGCACAGAGCTAGGAAGTAAAACCTCTGGCTAAATGCTTTGAGGTAGGCACTAATATTTGTGTTTGCTCTGTATCACATTTTGTACACAGCTGGTGTCACAAAAATAACAGGTACCTGCCTGCAGGCAGTATAAATTTTTGGGAGGAATGCCTTATATATTAATGTCTTTATGTCTGAGCTGATAATAACAGGTGTGATTGCCACACAATTATAGGTAATACATATGTTTACATAACAACAGCATTAGAAAACCTTCACCTTTTTACTTAATGGTGAACAGACTGATTTTGTGTTTACACAGGTTATTATTTCCCCTTCTAAATGGAAGCAGGAATGGTCTGGATGGATTCCATCACAGAACCACCTTACTAATTTTCTTGGGAATTTGGGAATGAGTTAGGACTGCAGCACAGCACCAGCATAGCAGCACACATTGCTAAATGGAAGATGTTACATTACCACTTCTGTTTCCTTCAAGATAGGCCCCATTCCTTGTTGGGCTGGAGGTCTGATGCCGCAGGCTAGCAGATGAGGACCCCCCTGAAGCCATCTGGGCAGGATGATGGCTACAGGAGGAAGAGGAGCCTCCAGAAGGGTGTCCATCTGCAGGACTTTGATGCACGGTGTACGTGGAGCCCAAGGCAGCGTCGGCAGGATCCACACTGTACTGCTTCCTGTTTGCAGCATCAGCCAGGTAGTCCTCAGGTATAACTGTCTCTGCTCAGGAAGCCCAGACACAAAATAAACATCAGTAAAACAGAAACTTTTTTAATTCAACCCTTGAAAAAAAAATTTTTTTTAGCCAAAATTTCCATTTTTTTGTGACAAAGTATAACTGCGTTATCAACTTTCTGTACAGACAGCTGGCCCCAGGAGAGGTCCTTGCTGAGAATTAATAAACAGTGAAGGGAAACACAACCATTCAAAGTCAGTAGAGTCACAAGAGGGAAACCACGGCTTGATATGAGTCATCCATGTCAGCTTACAATATTCTTTTCTGTAAAATCCTGGGCCACTTAGCCCAGGTCTGATTGGACTCATGGTGCTCCTCAAATGCACTGAGACCGGAGGATTGTAAGGAAGGAGGCAGAGGAAGATAATGGGGCAGGCAGTTTGTTAGGTTCAAAACGCCTGGCAGCCGGTAGGAAGGAGTGAAGGTAATAAACCAAAGCATTCTGGCTGCAATTACCAAAATTAATCAGAAGCATCCTCAGCTGCAGAGATCCATCAGGCCCAGTATCCCACAAGGATAGAGGCTTGATGACTGATGAGCACACCCAAGGTTTTTCATGGACAGTGATGTGTTACGTGTTAGTCACTTGGACCTGACTCAGGTTCAAACGTGCCAACATCACAGACAACTGCAGACCATTGCTATGATGGTTCCTGCCCTCTCCATTGCAATTTTCACACTGTGTAGGAGCTAAATACCTTGCTTTCCAGATTCCTGGCAATAAACCAAATTTTGCACTTCAAGACCTCTTTTATAGACTTACACTCCCCTGTGCTTAGGGATCTAAAACACAGGCATGAGGCAGGTCTAGCTCCAGGTTTTGCAGCACACAGGTATTTTTTGCCATTTCCCCTCAGACTTAGGCTCAGGTTTGTCACTGACACTTCCATGCCTGTGTCACTGTCTTGCTCCTCCAGTTTCCTCATATCAGTGTCTTTCCTATTTGCTTTTTTTTTTTGCCTTCACAAAAGATGGCCACAGGTCTTCCTCCTCCTTTTTCCCACTTCCATTCCCCCTACAAAACCAGCCCTCCGGTCACCCAGCCCCAGTATCACTACTGGGATACAAGCAGAGCCTTTGGAAACCTCTATAAGATCCCAGCCTTGGCAGAACCCTGCTGGCAACCTGCACTTTAGAGATTCCCACTCCCACTGGGTGTTAACACCTGGCAGGCAAGGAGCCCTTAGATTCGAGAAGTGCCTTCCATTGCCCCATGACATTTTCCTGAGCTGTTGAAAAGGCCACTTTCCTCAACATGTGTACTGTCAGAGACATCCAAGCAGGGTGAAATTTCCCCCACGGTGTTGCACATCATCTTCCTGGCCTGAGCAATACTCTCCTCCTGATGTGTTATGCAACCTTATTGAGTAACAAGAAGAATTTGTGCTGTAATTTATGCCATAAGACACAAACTCCATGTTGAAGCTCTATATAACAGAGTATTCTTTTTAATTTACATTTTCACTCTTTTCCTTAAAAAAAAAACTCCAAAAAACAACATTACTTGACAGCTGTGTACCACGGTTGATGTTAAACAAACAAGATTTATCTCAACAACTCAAATGCTCACAAGTTGTGCCATACCATCATCTTGGCTTGTGTGTCAGGCCACAGCACAAGATTTTTGTTACATTGTTCTATTTTATTGCTTCTTTTAAAATTTTGCCTCATTCTGGGCCAATGCTGGACTCACCATAAGGCAAACATCAAATCTGAAGGAAAGCTGCAAATGTGAAATTTCCTCGCTTTTGGGCATTTGCCTTTGCAACTGCAAGAAACTTTCCTTTAGCAAGGCTTTTTTCCCTTAGATGATTTGGATTCTTACAGCATGCATTCAGGTGTCCTGCTGCTTTCTGCCAGGAATTTCTGAGCTTGATTCTCATACAAATACAGAGAGGGTGTAATCCAACTGAATTCAAGGGAGTTCAGATAACGTAACACATAAGAGAAATGGGAATCAGACACTCTGAACCTTTCCTCCTAACCTCCAACAGATGCCAAAATTATACAGCGATTGAGCTAAATACCTTGCTTTTCAAACTCCTCCCAATAAACCAAAGAAAATCCAATCAAGCCTCCTCATTCAAAGGAATTTAATTACTGTGTAGAACACTTGCAATAAAAGCCTCTTATGCATAAAGAAGATGGCTCTTTCTGCAGCATCCTGCCTGCACTGCATGGAATAATTATGCCTCTTGTGAATCATTACCTCTTTATTCCAGGAAAAGAATGCTCTTTTAATATGATTACAATATGAAGAAGACATAGACTATCAAAACAACAAACAGCACATTAAAAGAGCCCTGCTAAATAAACAGCATATAGCTTTTATTGCCATGGATGCAAATTACTCCAAAATTTTTGGGCAGACACCAGGGATTTTTTGATGGATGGCAGACTGTCTCAACAATCTGTGTGAACTAAGACATGTACAGATACAATCTCCCTGTGGAAGGGCACCCATTAATTTTGTACAAGACTACAACCAGGAGCCAATCTCTGTCAGATCTGTTCCTAACTTTTCTTGATCCAAATCAATTTATTCCACATCTCTGCTCTGGGCTCCAGAATGGCAGTAATGTTGCCTACTGCCATGGAAGAAACCGGAGCCTCCATTCCTCACTGCATGAAACATCCCCCAGTGGAAGGTGCTTTGGGAATTTGGACAGTCACATTAATGTCTTCATGGGATCGAGGGGAGCAGGGATAATCTCAAATGGCCCACTGACCAAAAACCAAAAAACCCTGTGGAAGCTTTTGTGTTCCTAATTTTCCAGCTCTCTGTTAGTTTGCACCACAGAGAAGCTGCATGACTTGAGGTTCCACTGATGATGTGCATTAAAAAATCTGCATTTTGTAAGCTCCAAGAAAGCTTTGTAAAGTGCATAGCCATCACAGCTTCTAATCCCACTTTGGCCAATTAGGAAAAAAACCCATTTTTTTGAGACAATAGAAGAAAATGTAAGTCTCTGTTGGGGTTGGAAATGCAGCAGTGCAAAAATCTGTAGCTTAGCACTTCTGTATTCTGACTCACTTTCATGTTTTTTTTTGTAGGTAGTCAGTTCCACATATTAGTGAGAAACTAGTACACAATGCTTTAAAGCAGGATTTATGAGAAAGCTGCTTCAAGCTTTTGCTCTGAGCACAGCAGTCTCTGTTACAACTGCTCACCACCCTGAGATGCTTAAGCCATTTTGGCAGTTTTCCTTTCCATGAGTGGTCCACAGGCAGCTGGATTGAAAAGCCCAAGACTGTTACATCCAGCACACCTTAAAAAGCAACAAAGCAGAGAAAAAAAGCAACAATTGCCTTCCCAATTTAAAAATGTGTATTTCTTTGGCTGAGCTTCTTAAAAAATAGCAGTCTATAAGATCCCTAGCCAAAATCCTGAAGATGGGTCAGCTGAGAGTTAAAAGAGCCTGAGAATCTGCAGCTAACATCCCAGCTCTGCTGCAAACCTCTGGAGCAACCTTGGTCAGGTTATCTGCCATCTCTGGACCTCAGTTCTCCATTAGGATGAAGGAAAACACTTGTTTTGTCTCTCACTTCTGAAAAATGTTGAGTTTTTTGCCCCAGCAGTACTCATTTGCCTCTATGGAGTGCCACATAGATGCATACTGCATGTGTGAGTGCAGAACACAAACACTGGGCCTTTGGTAGCATCTGGGAATAGAGACACTCCAGGAAGACAAAAGAATTTACTCTCATTGTACATTAGGAAAGCAAATGAAAATCAATTTCAAGTCAAGCAGGAAATGAAGAATAGTATATACACAGGAAAGATGATCTCTAGCTGACCTTTTCCTGAGCAGATCTAATCTCTTTCTTCTACACCTTAAAAAAAGCCCAAACTCAGTTTGTTAGAATCTCTCCTACAGGCAAAATCTCCTTGTACACTCCAGGGACACTATTCTGCCTTCTCTGCTCCCAGACCAAACATGTCTTGTGCCGCTTTCCTCACCTGCTGCTGCTCCCACATCACTGCTCATGTTACATCTTTCTCTCCCTTTACCTCTTTCAGGTTCCATTCCCTTATATCCCCCATGTGCTTCTCCCTCTTTCTTCCCTGTCACCTCTTCCCACTTCTTCCATCTTATTACCACTACCTCAACCTTGCTCTAACTCCATTTTCCTGCACCTACATCACTCTTTTCCCATTTTGCCAGTTATTTCCCTATCTCTCTTTTCTATTTTCCCTCCTCCCACACATATGATTTTCAGCCATTTTCTCCCCAGGCTGTTTTCCTTCCACCCATCTCACACTTTCATTGATCCAGATTTCCCTTTCCTGTTACTCCCATGTTTTTTTCTGGGCTCATCCCCAGATTGCTGCTAGGACAGCAGAGCCCAAGGTCAGGGCAGTGAAGTGGGAGCAGAGTCCCTTTCCCAGCTAACAGGCCATATGCTGGGGCCATGAAGTGGCTGCATCTGGGTGAAGGTTGCGTGGGGCACTGCTGGAAACCCACACTCCCTGCTCTGAGCATGCTGGACACTGATCCCCAAGCCAGCCTCTTTTACACACCAGTAGCTTCCCAGGAAAACTGCCCTTCCTTCTAGGACAATACTTTAATGTCATTTCATAACCTTTTACTTTACCACCTGCAATGCTCAATCATTTGTATTCGCTTTAATTAAATTCCCCCTTAACTTCTTTTCTTCACAGTCAATACAGATTTATTTCTGTCTTTCTTTTCTCTGCCTCCACTATCCCTTTTTTGTGTCGTCTCCTATTCCTCATATCATTTAGTGATGGGCTTTGCCCTCTGACCCTTCCCTGTACCTTTTAAAGTGCTACCATATATTGTCTATAATGGCTTGACCAGATGTGAACTCCATATTTTAAGCAGCATGATATCATAGCTTCCTCAGACCTCTCCTTTCTCCCAGCCAGGGACAGCCTTTTTTCATCTCCCAGTCATTTTGAGAGGAGCCAGCCACAGTGTCAAAATCCTATCGAGAGGCTCCTTCTTTGTATGGTTTTATC